AAAAAAAGACCTCCCCGCCACACAGAAATAGAAAGATTAGACACAGAAAAGCGCGTATTTCTGTTTCGGGAATTGATTGCCTGTAGAGGGTTTAACGACGGATTATCGACTGGACGTTCTTGTAGGAAATAAGGTGGCTTTTCTAATTTTCTTTTACAAAAAAAATAAAAGAAAAAAAAGAAAGAAGATAAGCGCTGAGACATATTGAAAAATAATCCAAAGATACGATTCCTTTAAGATGAAAATTCCAATTCTTTATTTTATGCGACTCAGAGGTTTTCGAGATATGTCTTCAGTTATTACGGATCCAATGGGATTTCCCGCTTTTTTAGCACATGGATTCACATTTTTAGAAAATACTATTGTTCGCACAGTATAAAGCGCAAGAGCTACTCAAGGTAGACGGCTGGTAAATGAGATTTTTATAATGGCGGAAAACAAGAGAGTTAAATCTGCATATGTTGAGGATATGTAGGTTACATAACGATTGACACGAGACTTGAAGAGATAAGGATTACAGTGATGAGAGAAGCATCCTTTCACGGGTTGGGTGTGTTTCACAACATTTCTTGGGTGGGGAACTGTTTGAGTGAAATTTTCACCTTGCCAGTGGAATTCTAGTGTTCCCGACCTGTAAATAGCATTTCGGGTTCATCCTCTTACTGATGACCATGCATTCTGTCTTCTTGTAGTTTATGCTTAGTCCATTCTTCTCACTTTTCCATCGCTACCTTCTGTAGGCGGTTTTATAATTTCTTTTCCGTGTCTGCTATCAGTACTGTGCCATCAATAAAATGTACAGTGAGAAAGAAGGCTTTTGCTACAGGGATAAAAGTATAGTTTAGACTAATTTCTTTTAAAACTCGTACTGAAAACTTTACTGTTTACCTTTATATGCATGATTTTTTTAAAATTAAATGCCAAGTCTCTTCATGACGTGATTAGTATCTCCGATCTGCTATGATTTCTTTGGAAAGATAGACGATTGGTCTACAATTGTTTTCTCTATGGTTATGAATCTAGAGATATCATTCTCCGTCCAGTATATACGGGATCATGGCTCTCCACAGATTCCATTTCTTTAATATCCTCGATTTTGCTATTGGGAATGATAGTATATTGGTTTCCTTTTACTTTCTCCAAGTTTTTGTATTCAGAATCTTCCTCTAATAATTTAAATGGAGTATATTGTTTCTATCTGCCAAACGGGTGGGAGGTATGTTTTTTTTTTAAATTGCTACGTACCTTCAGGTGTTAAGCTCTTATGCCTTTACAAAGATTTCTTTTCTTGATTATCTATAAATTGTCATAATTATTGGGGTGGTTTTCCGTTGCATTATGAATTCTAATTTGTCCTTTCACAAGGCTGACTGTAACTCAAGGTTAGAGTGACCAGCTAAAACTGATATTTAATCCATATATTGCACTAGGGAAGAAACTGATGCATACATTTCTCAATAGTATTATTGCGCAGCATATGATAGACGAGTAACGGAACAGTTAGCAGCCCGGATAGAGAAATCAGCGAAAAATCAAATCCAATCAAGAGCTCCAACAAACATCCCAGATCTGAAGACCATATGCGAAATAGAATGGAACAAAATACCAACTAAAATTTGAAAATCATTAATGGAAAACTACAAGAAGTTGGTTCCTGTAAAAGTGAATAATGGCTATTCTACAAAGTATTAAATGAAGATTAAGTATTCTTTTTTGTATTGTACGAATACATTTTTCATCCATTAAAATGGATATGTGGGATTTATTTCTATTAAAGCAAATGTTTTCTGTTTTCTATGTATATTTAGTTATTATGGATCTGTGTACAGTTCATTATATGAAAAGTATATTTATTCATTAGTTGGAAATATAATAAATAAAAAATAATTCTATGTGTGCGAATATTTGTTCCCCCACACCACCGTATATATAGCCGTGTTGAAATTTATTCCATTTCCACACTAACACTAACAATGACGACCTGTTAATTACATTTGTAAATTATAGTTACAACTTTTACTCAGACTGACAAAAGTTCTATCTAATACTATTCATATCTATCTATCTAATACTATTCATATCTATCTATCTAATACTATTCATATCTATCTATCTATCTATCTAATACTATTCATATCTATCTATCTATCTATCTAATACTATTCATATCTATCTATCTATCTATCTAATACTATTCATATCTATCTATCTATCTATAATGTTATGTACGGGGAAACATTCTCAAATCAACACCCGTAAACCAGTAAAAATAATGTCGACTACACAGACACACACACAATGTATTCATATAGTTTTATCTTACCATTACTTTGGAGGTATTTCTAGAAGGTATATTTTGGATCAATTTCTACCACATCCTATAGATAGATAGATAGATAGATAGATAGATAGATAGGGATCAAATATGGTTCGGAATCCGTCAGAATGATAAGATAAAGAACAAAAAAGAAACATTTATTAAAGCTTCATCAGAGACTGACATATGGAAAAAAGAAACAATGAAGAAATTCTGGTGTTGTTTTAATTTCATTGGTTACTCAGAATTTAGGTGCATTCGACTTATTAAACAAACGTTAGTATAATTTATGGAGTTCCGAATTCAAAAAGAGTCGACGCTTCCTTTCGAAGTTTCAAAAAATTAAGGATTCCAAGCCTAACTGAAAAACCGGAAAAATTTCTTCATGTCATAAGAGTATAATAATTCTAGTTTGTCTATGTGGGATTCAGATGATAAACTCTATTCGTAAGTGTGTGTGTGTGTGTGTGAATAGCTTTTCATACGCCAGAAATTGGCCTTATCAAAATGAATGTATGGCTCATTCTTGCTTTCTGTCTATACTTCAGGCTGGTAAGAGTGGTGAAATGATATGCGGAAATTATACATTGAGACGTTTGGTATCAATAAATGATCTTTTGAATGTCACATCCTACTTAGGAATTAAGGCTAACTACGTGCCTCAATTTTTGTATAGGGTGCACCAATCCTCTGGTGGCCATTTTCAGCACGACTATGCAGCATTTTAAAAGATTAGAAATAGTAGCAGTTTGATTTGGGGGGGGGTAGTAATGAATCGACCGCGTTAAAGTGACTAAAGCCACAGGATTTCAGTTCAAGAGAACATATTTAGGATATGGTTTGAAGGAACATTTGAACCTTGAAACCAATCTTGTAGAATTGCAGGATGCCGTGATAACAGCATGAATCTAAATTTTGAAAGAGTGCTTCTCGAAATTCGTCTAATTCTTGCCAAGAAGAATTGAGTTGGTTCTGAAAATAAAAGAAAGTTCAAACCAGTACTAAATCAGGATGACTAATAAACTTACTGGTGCGTATGTAGATATTTTTTAAAGATTAACGGGACCACTGACGAAAGGTTTTTTAACTCTACGTTAATATCAATTAATATTGTAAATTAAGAAAAAATAATATAAGATATAGTGACACTAATTTTTTTTTTATTAACGTTTAGCACTTTATGTGAAAAAACAAATTTCAACAGCAAACGCACGCTGTACACCGATCAAAGCAATGGTTGTAAATGATAATGTCTGAGAAATTAATGGTAACGCATTAGCTAGAAAAAGACAACTTTGCCACCTGCCTAAGTTCATTAACACGAAACAGGTTACAGTTTAAAATGTGGGAGGTATTTCTGTCACACTCTGTTAAAAAAATGTTAATGAATGTCATATTGTCAGAACATAGTAGTAGGTAAGCTCGCTATTTCAAAGCAAATAGAACTGTTTCTATCTCTAATCTGGGTGGTAGTTCCTTTGGGCCATTCTTCATGGTTTGAACTTCCTGTTAGGGAAGCGAATCTATTTGCAATAAAATAAAATAGAAAAAAGAGTAGTTTAACCAAATTCAAAATTCTGTCTTGTTTTTGTTTTTTTTAATTCTGAGAATCAAAACTTTTTTTTTTTTTGCAAAAGGACAAATATGACGTTAACATAATCTCATATGGGATTCGGAATGCGTTAATTAAATTTGGTGACACAGCAATAGTAGATTCATTCTCTGGCCAGGTCAGTACAGACCCCCGTGGAAATAAGGTGATTAATTGATCAGAACTAAGAAGAAAACAGGACAAGATATCCCCAGACATGAACAATGGAAGGGGACCAATCAACCACGATTGGTTTAATAAAATATTCATTTTGAAATTCCCTGAAGAAGGCTGGAGAGAAAACCGACTGAAACCTTGCGATAACAACGATGATGACGATATCAGTTAATAATACGGGGTGCGGCGGAAATACGCCTACATTTTAAATGTAAGTTGTCCAAAGAAAAAATCTTCAATGTTCTTGGTCTTGACCTGTCATCTCGGTTTTAATCATTTCTCACCGCGGTTATGTAGATTCCCTGTGCCTATGCTATAAATACTTTCCTGGTAATTCTTCTGATGAACATTCCTTTATGGCATCTGGAATTTATGAATTTAACCATTGTATTAGATTGGTGGCAAGGTCCTTATCTATCTATCTATCTATCTATTTTATAGTTGAAATGGCGAGATGTAACCGTAAGAGCTTTCTTCCGGTGTCGTTTCCCGATCAAGTTTGATCTTCAAAAATTTATATGCAACATCAATCATTATCATGTCTTCATAATTCTTGTTCTTTTATTGTTCTCTTTCCTTAATAGTATTTTTATCACATTCTCTATCACCCAAAACCCCTTTACGTCTTAGTAGCCTTATTGCCATGTTTGGGAGTGAAATGATTTAAAAAAAAAAACTGATTTTTATATGGCAATCATTTTGATTATTAGTATTACAGAGGCAATCTAAAGGACACGAGAATTCGTAAACAACATGTTTTTGTTTTTTTTTACGTCCCGGGTTCTTGGCAATGATTAGGTTCGATGTTTTAAAGTTTTTTTTAGCAAATGATAAATATACGATGTTTATTGCAATCATTGAGATTACTGGCATATTGGTTGCAATAAACACCTTAGATTTATCATTTCTTATAAAATGTTTCAAATATATATCAAACTATTAATCCTGTCTGTTCACATCTATCTATCTATCTATCTATCTCATTCTGTGCCCATCTATCTATCTATCTCATTCTGTGTCCATCTATCTATCTATCTATCTATCTGTCTATCTCATTCTGTGTCTATCCATCTATCTAAATATCTATCTCATTATGTTTCTTTTTTCTATCTATCTATAGCATTATCCTTTTCTTTCTTTCTTTCTGTTGAAACTTGGATAAGCATGGAATAATAATAATACAACACAAAATGTACGTAAACAAAATGTATTGAAACAAGGAAAAGGTACACAATATTTACAGTTAGTTTTGGTATATTCTTGGGAAGACTGTTCCTGCATAATGGGTTGACTAAATCGCAGTCGGGCAGAGTCTCTCGATTCGATCTCTTAATGGTATTTACTTGATTCCCACTAAATCAAGATATGACACAAGGTCGATTAACGTGGGAGACCCGAGTGTTTCCACTCATAGGCCACTGGTCAAAATATTGGTCAGAGCTTGTCCAAGCTGGTCAAAGCCTAGTCAAAGCTGGTCATAACTTGTCCTAACAGGTCCAGGCCGAAGCCAGTCCAAGCTAGTCAAAGCTTGATCGAATCTCAGTCTACCACCAAGAAACGATCCATTAATTGTCAAAACCCCCAGCCAAAAAAAGGCCGGGCAGAATGATTCGATCTCTTAATCTTCCGTCTTCCGGTACCAACCCATATTTATATGGCCGGTACTCCACTTATGTAAATTAGGTGTATCATACACAACACTTTCTTTTTCTTTTCCATTCTATCTATCTATCTATCTATCTATCTCATTCTGTGTCCATCTATCTATCTATCTCATTCTGTGTCTATCCATCTATCTAAATATCTATCTCATTATGTTTTTTTCTATCTATCTATAGCATTATCCTTTTCTTTCTTTCTTTCTTTTTCTTTTCCATTCTATCTATCTATCTATCTATCTCATTTTGTCTCTATTTATTTCATTCTGTTTCTCTCTATGTAATAGATGTATTTTTTTGTTCCACGACATTAAAGTGCTTTTACAATTTCGTATTACTTAACCACATCAGGGCATTCTCTCTCTTCTACATCTGGCAGCAAGGCCTCTGATCGAGAGACTATAGGCTTTGAGGTGCGTGGCACCACCTCTTAATAGCTGTTGTTCCCAGGTCCATCCTGACCGGGAATGGTAGCAACTGTTATGGTCCCAATTATGAACAAATAATGAACCCCCCTCCAAAAAAAAAAATCTATGAGAGTATTTAAAAGTACATTTTTATAGCAAAAATACCAGCAATATATTTTACATAAAAAATGACCAACAATACAGTTTTAATGCAAAATGAACATTTTATCTGTAGTTGGAGGCATACAATTGCGTTCGAAATGTATTTAGTTGAAGCCCAAAAATTGTCTTGAAATTATTTAGATTTCAGTATGAAATACCCCAAAAAGTTTGATATGCCGCTAAGCAAAGTCAAACAACCAAAATGAAAGAACTCTATCGTGATATTAATCCAGATAATATGCTACAATTTCTTAAATCAGACTGTATAACAAAATATAACTTTAAAAGAAGTATAAAACACATATTACCGCCTCTAGTAATCATTTCCACACAAACTTCTATATGCAAAAAGCCGAGTATCATCTACCGTTTATTCAATTGTGAAAGTAGAAATAATATATTTTGATGATTATCAAAACTCCTAAGAAAATTAAATTAGGGCATTAAATGACCCATAAGGAGTTGATATCCCGTTAAACAAATCAAGTAACCAATAATATTCTCAGGAATTTCATAGATAATGAACAACCTAGAATTGGGATAAAAATCTGCATTATGATATGAAACAAATAATGAAGACATCTATCTATCTATCTATGTTTTTATCTATCTCATTCTGTTTCTATCTAATTATTTTTTCTATGTCATTCTGTTTCTATCTATCTATCTATGCTTTTATCTATCTCATTCTGTTTCTATCTATCTAATTATTCTTTCTATGTCATTCTGTTTCTATCTGTCTATCTATATCTATCTATTTCATTCTGTTTCTATCTATCTAATTATTTTTTCTATCTCATTCTGTATCTATCTATCTATCTATCTATCTCATTCTGTTTCTATCTATCTATCTAATTATTTTTTCTATCTCATTCTGTGCCTATCTATCTATCTAATTATTTTTTCTTTCTCATTCTCTTTCTTTCTTTCTTTCTTTCTATCTATCTGTTATGACCGCTTCGCTATGAGGTGATGGTGGACAAGTTGTTCTTAAAAATCATTAATGAAATTTTGTCTTGTACCAGACTTGAGCTTATCAAGCAACTAAAATTATTTAATGTATTTAATTGTGTTCATCCCATCTAAAAAAAATGTCAACCTGCGTATTCGATTGTTTTTGATTGGTTAAAACAATTTTCAAAGTTCTCTTCTCATGCATAACCAACTCGCATAATCGTCTGGTGGATACTTTTCTTTGGCAACGAAAATCTCATATTTCCAAGTTCCTGAGTTAAGCTGATTTCTAGAATCGAATGACTTGCGGAAATTAACAACCGATAGTTTCTCACTTATGACGCGTGGGTGGAATTCTTCACGATAATAAAATTCAAGGGTCACTCCGAAAGTAATGCCGCCTATTTACTTTCGCGGAAATTAAATCTGATACGAGAGGGGGTTGCAGTGTAACACCGTTGAATAGATCAAGTTTTCAATTACGAAACGCGTTTCCTTTCTATATAGAAAGCGCCATTGGCTCATTTTTAATAATGGCTTATGAAAATAGAAAATGCTTGAAAAGACATTCGAAAATATATGTTCAACTTCTCACCGGAAACCAGAAAATAGTCAGTACTAAAGAAAAAAATAAATTAAAAGAAAGAGAGAGAGAGAGAGATTAAATAAGGTGTGATAAAGAGAGTGACAATGTGAACTAAGTAAGCTTCTGTTTATCGCATGCGCTGTGAAATGGAGAATCAACATGGCTGTTTTAAATGTCCAGTGAATATTATCTACATCAGCTTCTACGACGATATTATGCAATCTCTCCTCATAAATATGGAAAAAGTTTGGTTTGGTTAATTTTTTTACGGTATATCAACCTCAAAGTGTTATTTAATGCCAACGAGATTTTGGGGATAGGTTCGTATGAATAGAATATGTATTCTTTGTAAGAACTCAGTTTGTAGATCAGGTTTCATTGACGTATTTTTGTAAAGACTGTTTTTGTCGATTGCTGTATTGCTGGTAATATTTCTCGCGAAAAATGTATTGCTAGTAATGCTTTCTTTCAAAAATATATTGCTGGTAATAATTATTTAAAAAAATTATTGCTGTTAATAATTATTTAAATAATGCATTACTAGTAATTTTTTTTTTTAATTTATTGCAGGTAATAATTATTTAACAAATGTATTGCTGTTATTTTTACTATTAAAAAAACAAACAATTTTTACACTTTCATAGTGTTTTGAACCAAGTCTGGAGGTTAACTATTTGCCTATAGCTGGGACCCTAACAGGTGCTACCACCCCGGGTCAGGGTGGGCCTTGGAGCACCAGCAAAGTGATTCCACGCTAGTCAACACCACCTGATCAGAAGCCTTGTTGCCGGATGTAATTTATCGTCATACCTAGGACGAGGAAAAGGTTTGGAACAACACACACACATATATATATATATATATATATATATATATATATATGATGTTGGTGTAACTAACAGAAACTACCTACGCAGTTAAGTACTCAACATTCAGGCTACACATAGCAAAACCGCTTCACAATTTTAACACTTAACAAAGGATAGCGCACGGGGCGTTACTAAAAATCCACTTACTTGTGATCTTCAGTCAACTAGAACACAACACAATGAAGGGGGCCGAGCATTAAATACCTCACAGCATATATATAAATATATATTTTATGAAATGGACTAAGTCCGAAACTTATTTTAATGTATTTTCTATTTGTACATTATTTTTTATAGATACAAATATTTAAGGTAGCTTCCTCTGTAGCTAAATGGTATAGCACGTATATATGACATTTCAGTGCAGAATACAGGTTCTATTCTTGTCGAAAGACATATATTTTCTATGAAATGTCTCGGACATTCAGGTGAGTAAATGTAGTAAATACTGTTTATTATAAACAGAACATTTACTTAAATATTTTTATCTATAAAAAGAAAGTATAAACAATATATATATATATATATATATATATATATATATATATATATATATATGTGTGTGTGTGTGTGTGTGTATTTGGTAGCAATCCCTCTTTTATGCAAGTTTCGTTAAAAACGACTGATAAGGTGCTGTGGTGAAGTCTTTTTTTTATATAATTCCTGATGTGTTCGTATAATTTGTTTTCGTTTCAGGACATATTTTATATTTTAACTGAATATATGGATTGTTTTATGTATGTATGTAGAGTTAAATGAATGTTTTATTTTCAAAACGACAGCCAGATACCAGCACATATGATTTGATTATAGTGGTGAAAGATTTGCGTAGAACCAACCACACTTTTTGAAGGGACAAATACAGAGACCTGCTGCACTACGTGCCACAAGGTCCCCAAATGACCCTCCGCAGGTTTTGAATACAGAGTTGTCATTCTTCTAGACACACGCCTGTGTGTGTGTGTGTTTTGTATTCCTAAACATCCTTTAGACGAAAAACCTTTTTTTAAATTTTGGATGTAATGTAACTATAACAACAAAATCATTTCGCTTCTATTGTTTGCCTTGATAAAGTCGGAATAGGAAAAACCCGTCGACAAAAGAAATAAGATTTTTCCTATTGTCATTCTTATACCATATATATATATATATATATATATATATATATGATATATATATATATGTATGAGAGAGAAAATAAAAAACGACAGTGTTGGTGTGGTCAACAGACAATTTGCCCGATGACCTAACAAAGACCAAAGACAGACCAAAAACGTACTATATGAAAGTGCTCAATGTCTCGAGTACCTAGACAGAGCAAAAAACCTTTACCGATTGTCAACTCTCAACAATCGGCCGAACGAGATATTACTTAAGTTTAATGCTCTCTGTATCTTCAGATGACTAGAATAATTATCACATATATATATATATATATATTATATAGAATCAGAATCTGCAATTTAAAATTAGAAATTCATCGATAAGTGATAGTCATGCAAATTTTTATATTTCGAATAGTGGAAAAAGTGTTCGTACAGTATCAATTTTTGCATTATAATACGGTAGATTTTAATTGTGCTTCAAAGTAGAAGATTCTAAACTGTTCTAGAATATTCTCAGTAACTCTATTGCAACATTCAGTTCAAAATTGGATCATTTTGCAGTTACTGTTCACTGATAACGGTTCTAATAATGGCTAGACGTAAGAAAATATACCACTTCCGTTTTTTGATTGTTGTGCAAATATCTTCTTATTTTTCTTCATTTAGTCGTTTTCTTTTGCTTGATAGATATCTTGGTTATTTGTCGATATTTTCCATTTTCATTTTCTTCAGATATTACGCCCTGTCATTATTTGCCTGATGTGTACACTTTCAGACTGACGACATTAAAATCTTTGGCTCAATTTCAGATACTTTGCATCAGTTTCCGCCTCGCTGAACCTAGATGTCGACATCTTGCTCTGTTCTTAAAAGGCTATTCCAAATTTTAATTACTTGTATTTGAAACAAATGTATGTTTGGCTTTTTTTTCTTAATAAACAGGTAGGTCAATAGATCGGTGGTCTGAAACAATCATTCGTTGAATTTTAATCTGTGCATTTCACTGTAACTCACTGTTATTAATTAAGAATTGCGCTATGTGCAATGACAAGAAATATTCATGTTAAAAACAAGAAATTTTATGTTAAAAAATATGTTTTGTGGATATTAAATACTTTTTCTTTATTCGGCTATTTTAAAAAAATTAGATATGTAACTTTCAATACATATCGAAATTATTATAACAAATTTGATAAGATTTATTGTTCTCGTCTAATATTAAGCACTATATCAGCACAAATTCTGTTATATTTGATATTCGATAAATTACGTATTTCTGCGTACATTAATTGCTAGTATTAAAAATTAGCATTAGTTTTTATTTCATATGTAATACCATTCGTAATTTTAATACTTTCATTCAAAGAGTTAAATTTAGTAAAAAAAAATATTCAAAATATATGGCATTTTATACAAAAGGCAGAAGGACATCCTTAAAAGTCGACTACTTTGTTGAGATTTATAAAAGCATTTAATACAGGTAATTTTTTTTATTAAATAACGGTGTAGGACTCTCTGTGGGTTATTTAATGCCTAAATCTAAATATTTTGAACGCAAATTTACGGCTTCGACTGTCGATATTTTGTACATAATTTTATACTTATTTACTTTTATGTTTTATAGATATATATTTTGTAGATGATCTATTGTAAGTGTTATGTGTTTGGGTATAAACCTATTTCTTTACGGTAGGGTATTATTTTGATGGTTTCAGTTAATTTTCATTAGAGATTTTTGTTCCTATAACTACTGCACAAAATAGAGAAAATTATATATATATATATATATATATATATATATATATATATATATATATATATATATTTGTTGGATAGATGTGGTTTTCACCTAGCGATCGTCAGACAATGTCTGACGATCGCTAAAGCGTGAAACCCAGGGTCACAAACTCACATCTATCCAACCAAATATGTTAGCTCTATCTCTGATATTGAGCGCTTTCTAATAAGTACCGCGCATATAATATATAAATAATTATACATATATATATATTTATTTATATTTATATTCACTTTTCACATATATATATATATATATATATATGTGTGTGTGTGTCTTTATTGATGCAATATAAAAGAACAGTTAGATTAATGATCCATAGCTCTTTAGTATTTATGTTTTTATTTTTGAAAACACTGCTCGATACAGAAGTAGAACTTAAAATTATAATTATTTGTTTTTAAATATGCTTCCATCACGAAACAGAAATTACTATGTTTCGAAACTGAAAGTAAATCCTAAAATGAAAATGTATAAAACAAATTCCACAATACCATATATATATATATATATATATTAAAAAGAAGAGGGGTGCCGCAAACGTTTTTGGTTGTAATGTGGATTTATTGAGAAAAATATTATACTTTGTTTTACATAATTTCATGACACGTGTTTCTGGTCTGGTCTCAAACCGTCTTCAGGTGAAAGTGGAGATT